TGGCTAATTCACTTGAATTAACTAATTCAAGCTAATTCACTTCCTTGTAGATGCAGGGGCTACATCCTCAGTGCTGAATACAAAACTCATTGAGAAAGGTCGGCTGCCCTGTCAGTTACTAGAATGAGCAGAGGGTTATAAAAACAAGCATCCTTCAGCCTCTAGAGTGCCAGCTCTGGGGTACAAAGCATACACAGCTTTTTTACATGCAAGGTGCCCCATTCTATGTGGGGTCAAGATTTACTTTGTAAATTGTAGCACAAGTAACTCTTTCCCGAGAAGCAGCAATCATATTTGGGAGTCCCACTGGCACATGACATCCCTCTCAGGTGCTCCCGCCTGGAAGGACCCAGCGGTAAACACTTACCCCGGAGGTCCATGGGCAGGTCAGTGGAGCCATTCGGGCTGACAGAGCCTCAGGTAGGGTGGCTAACATCCAACCTGTAAAAATTAACCCTGGAAAAGGCATACAAATCCCATGGAAGAAACAATACCTGCTTAAAAAGGAAGCCTTACAGGGAGTTCAACCAGTATTGCAGAAAGTCTTAAAATCAGAATTAATTTGGCCATGCCAGTCTCCCTACAACACCCCATTTTGCCCAACAAAAGCCTTACTCTATGAATAGCAATGTGCATGGGATCATAGGGCCATACATGGCATTGCTGAGGATACTCATCCTACGGTGCCCAACCCTTATAATTTGCTGACCACAGTTCTCGGGATAGCAAATGGTTTTCGGTCCTGGACTTGAAGGTGCTTACTTGATTGCTTGTCCGCGCAACAGGCCTCACCCTGGAAGCCCATCAACAACACCGTCTCTTGAAATATGAAGCCGTCTGCCAGCTCCACTCATTCAGCAGTGCCACACTCTAGACACGGCACATGCTGCCTTCAGAAGATAACGGTCCTTCTCCCTCACGTAAAGGTTTCCCTCCATGCTTCACCCTCTTCCTGCAGGGTCAGCAAGACTATGCCCCTTGACAGCGGGAAGGAACTACAGGAGATGACACTTTCGGCCATTGGCCGCTGGCAGATGACAGGGTCCAGACTTTTGAAGGGGATTTCTTGGTGTGGGCAGCCATCCATCGGAGCTCAGGCCTGGCCGGCCACTCAAAGAGGTGGGCCATGCCGGGCTGCACAGAGGACATGGGTGTGCTGGCATGTAGGGTGCCGCGTGGACTCCCACCAGCTCCCTGGGAGATGCAAGCGCCATCAGGAGTGGGCTGAGGGGCATCTCCAGGCTTCCTGGTGGCAGGTCCTGCAGCGCCCAGGCCCCAATACTGTGGCCAGTCAAGGAGCGCTGGAAGTTTCACCCACTGGCCAAGATGGTGAGGAGGAGGTTTTTACACCAAGCACAACAAAAGCCAGAAAGACGAATGCACACATCCTCAGCACGCCGAAAACTTAGCAAGATAATTGGATAAATAAACCTTTCCCTCCCTATCCCCACAAAAACCACAAACTTCAACAGGCAGATGAGATGATCTTCGGGATAGGAGTCGCTGTCCTCCCCGGTCATAGCACTGAATAAACCTCCTTCCTTTGTCCCACACCTGTCTCCGGAGCGTGGCTTTCACTGTGGCAGGCAGCTGACCCACTCTGTGGTCACAGAGAGGCATTTGAATAGAGCCCCACGGGTAAGTGGGGTTTGCAGAGGAAGAAAGGCAGGAGGAAAGTCGGTTACAGGAAAGCTAACAGTCACCAGACAAGATCTTCCTCTAGCCCCATCTTTTTAGCACTTAAGTCATTCACTCACTCCCTGTTGACCACCTACTATGTACCAGGATATAAGGAACTCCTCTTTTAGAATGTGTTTGAACAGCTGCTCTATTGGGCTTTTGTACAAATCTCCTTGGCAGACAGAGTGACCACATCACACACGAAACAAAGGCGAAGGCTCTGCCCTGCTGTCCGGGTTTGGACTCCATGGAGCAAACCCAGCGATACTCAGACCTGGACTAGAGCCGCTGCCCTGCTCTCTCCTAGGATCAAATTCCTGGTGAGGGAGATGGGACAGGCACAAAGGCTGCAGGACAGCTGTTCCGAATAACCACAAAGTGCTCGCTTTTAAAAGGAACTTGTTTTCCTCTCCTGGCGCTCCCTTCTAGGCAGACACTCCTGAACCCTCGCCCAGGGAGCGGGCTTCTGACGCTGTGGCCACTGCCCCCTTGAGCAGGTTTTGGGGGCAGCACTGGCCTGGCCAGGCGCTCCAGAGCCCAGGGCATGGCGTGTGGAAGGTTGGCGCGGCACTGAGAGAACTTGTGTAGCAGCTGGGACTGATTAAGGGGGCACTGAGGGGGCACAGACGCAGCCCGGCTCCCTGGCAGGCAGCCTCTCGGGCTGAGCAGAAAGGAATGGTGGAGGAGAACACTCACACTTACTGTTAACATTTTGAGGTTTGTTTTTAACACTTGAACTTACAAGGGAGGATAATTTAATCTCTACACTTGAATGTTTCCTGAGAAACATTCCTGGTAACGGGAGGAGCTTACACCCACAGGGCACTCTCGTACATGTTTCGGATGCTGCAGGCTCGGGCGCTAACTGCTGGCGGTCCTGGTGGGAGTGCTTCTAACGGGCACTGAGGTTCCCTGGGAAAGTGGAGAGGGGCGCCTGTACCCCACTGGCCCTTTATTTGGGGCGGTGACTCCTTGCAGGACGTGGATGAGCTGTGGCCCACAAGGCGGGCATACTGCGTTCCTTCCTGGCATTTTGGCCCCAGGCCTGGCGGACTCTGAAGCTTCTCAAAGGCAAAGAGGCCAATCTGAGCCACCTCAACCACCTCCACCGGGGCCCACACTCCGGCGCCCCCCCGCCTGGCCCCCGCCTGCCCTGAGCCTCTCCCTACCTGTCCCCTTCCCTTCCTGCCTGAAACCACAATCAAGGTCACGCTCTCCCGCTCTGCTGCTCCCCCTCCCTCTTCCCCTCACCCCTCTGCTGCCCCCCCTCTTCCTTTTTCTCCCTCTGTTGCTCTACTCCCCTCCTCCCCTCTTCCCCTCTGCTGCTCCCCCTCCCTCTTCCCCTCCCCCCTCTGCTGCTCCCCCTCCCTCTTCCTTTCTCTCCCTCTGCTGCTCAACTCCCCTCCTCCCCTCTCCCCCTTTGCTGCTCCCCCTCTCTCTTCCCCTCTCTCCCTCTGCTGCTCAGCTCCCCCTCCCAGCCAGGGGTTTCCCCAGGAGGCAGCTTCTCTGGGAACTGGGGGTGACAATCACCTCCTGACCTGTAGGCCTCGGGCATCTGAGTAATAATAAACCTACATCTTCAAACAGTCCTCTGGGACAGGAAATGGGGGATTTTCAACCTGGGGGACGGGTCCTCTGGGGGCTAATCCACACTGCCCCGTGTGTGTGTGTGTGTGTGTGTGTGTGTGTGTGTGGCGTGTTGTGTGTGTGTGTGTATGGTGTGGTGTGTGTGTGTGTGTGATGGGCTGCCCCTCTCCCTCTCTCTGCTGCTGCCTGGAGCCCCGTGCAGGCCAAGGGGAGGGGGACACCTCGGTCCCATCCCTGTGCTCAGTCCCCTGCGGGCCCCCGCAGGACCAGCTGCCCTCCCTGGGGGTTCAGGTGGTATTGGAGGTGCTGTGTGTACACATTGAAGCCACACTCCCATGAGGTAACATTTCCACTAAGTGAGCCTCTTACTCATGTTCTTGGATTATTAGAATTATGATGCTTTTCTTTAAAGTGTGAGTAACTCTATATGGTATAGTTTTAATGCCTTGAATTTGGCTGACAACTTTCTTTGCCTTTTGCTTTTATTATTTCCTCAGCAGAGATTGTAGCATCACCAAGCCTGTCAGCCTTCAGCTGGTGATTCTTTACTGGTGTGCGCACGGAGGACATGTCCTGCTCTCACCGTACCACAGCACGTGGCAGCATGACGCGAGGGGCTGGGGACACAGCCATGGCCAAGCACCACCTCTCTCAGGGAGCTCTCATATCAAAGGGGAAAGCAGACAGCAACTAAGCAAGCAAGCACACACTAATGGGTCTGGTGAGGAGAGGAGCTATGACATGAGCAGAGTGAGGGCAGGACCTCTGGGAAGTCACCTTGGAACAAAGACTTGAACAGGTGAAGGAGTAAGTCATGCTAATTTCCCTGCTATTTGATTTTTAAAAATAATCTAATTGGCCCGGGACTGATGGCTCAGTTGGTTGGAGTGCCATACTGTACACCAAAAAGCTGCAAGTTCGATCCCTGATCAGGGCATGTACGGAAGGCAAGCCATCTCTCTCTCACATTGATGCCCCCCCCCTCTCTCTCTTTCTTTTTTTCTCTCTCTCTCTCTCTCCCTCTCTCTCTCTCTTTCTCACACATACACACACACACACACACACACCAATAGGAACCTTTTCTTGGGTGAGGATTTTTTAAAAGATAAAGTAATCGAATTGGAAATATTTTGGCATATAAGCTCTAATTATTTTTTTCCACTACGTATGCAATTGCCTCAATATCCCTTCCCTTCTCTTTATTTTTAGAACTCGGTTTGAGGTTGGGTCTATTTCACTAACGTATTCTAAGATGTATTTTTCTGACAAGTCTACTCGATTTTAATTGCTCCTCTTGGATCATCCTTTTGAAAGAATTCGCCAGTTTGTGTTTTAGCATTTGTAAACTATCCTTCCCAGTCTTGAAGTGAAATTCCATCCTCCCAAAGAGGCAAGTGCAGCTAACTTTCTCTGTGTGTTTGAATCTCCCAGAGAGCAGAGCCCAGACACTCTTCATGTATCTTGTTGAATGATAACTAAGTGAATTTCAAACGCATTTTGACATTTTCAATTCTTTTTGGGTCTAAGAGTACCTCACTCGTTTAAATAGATCACCGTGACAGGGACTCTGACCCCACTGGCTCCTGCGTTGTTTAATGTGACAAACTTTACATGAATACATGGCCTTTCCCACAGCCCATGGCAAACCACAAATAAGAACTGAACAAGGTCCTCACACAGACAGAGCCCTCATAAGGAAGACTTCTATCTGTGTGTGAGTCATTTTATTTCCTTTATTCACTTGAACAGAAGTGAGCACTTTGATGACCAGTCTTCAATGTCGTCAGGCCGTACGCTCTCCCAGTCCTGTGTCTGTGCCATCTGCGCATCCATATTCCCCCCAAAACCAAGAAGACCAGTGAGAGGGGGGCCAGTGCAATTCCCCAGGAGAATGTGGCAGCTGCTGGAAGAAAGGTCAGGTCAGGGTCAAACGTTCTCTCACCAGATAGGACAGTGCATGCGGGTGTGGGGACAGAGAGCCGTGGAGGCTGGTCTTCCTCATGAACGTGCACTGAGTTTCAGACTGTGTGTCCTGGCGCCAGGACCAGGACCTCTGTGTCGTCATGGAAACAAGCCAAGGGGAGAGCACTTCATCCGAGAGAGCGGAGGGTTTGCTCGGCTTCCCCACCAGGTATGCACAGCCAGCTGGCACGTGGTGGGCCTCGACTGGCAGTGGGAAGAAGGGGTTAGTGCTGCCCTTTCCCAGTGAGCATGGGTGTCATGGGGATTCGATAGTCACAAAGGAAAGAAAACAAACTGTGAAAACAGACTGTTAGGTGTGGAGGTCATTGCTTGGATGCAGCTGTTTTACGCCCTGCTCCTTGGCTTCTGTGTGTTATGACAACATAGGAAGAGGTGGTGAAGAACAAGTTAACGAGGAGACACGAGGACACGACTGCGGTCAGACACATGGACGAAGAGGCCAGAACGCCACGTGTGGAAGCTGCCTGTCATAGTCTGTCTGTGCATCCCGGACCCAACACAGTTTCACACTATTTTCTCTGGGCGATTCTTTCACCCTAAAACCCACAGGCTTTGAGTGAGTGATGCTTCATTTTCTGAGCGGCCAATGCAGGTACCTGTGAGTCCTCTGTGGTCAGTCGTGGCCAGCTCAGCAAGAGGACACGCTCACATGACAGAAATGTTTAGAGGGTCCCACCATCAGGCAGACAACCACAGGTTCCTTGGATCACGAATCTGAGCCCCAGCAGTGGACTGTGCTCTCTGTGGAACCTCCGTTTCCCAGTTTAAACAGCCCAGCCCCTTGGGGAAGCGAGCTGAACGTCAGCCTTTAGGACGTTAGTATGAAGGAGCCTGTGCAGGAGCCCTCCCTGCTGGAACCCAGGACCCTGTATTTTCAACGAGCGCTCAGTGAGCCGCTGGGGCTGTCCCTTTGGAGACAGGCTGTGTGGAATTGTCTTCTCGGCCCTGAGACCCGGCCCAGCCTCACCTTGCCCATGGCCAGAGGCGTGATGGTGGCCTCCCAGCTGGGGCCAACTCTGGCCGGTCCCTCGCCATCTTCCGGGGCTGCCGACAGCCCGCCGGGCCTGTCTCCTTCCTGCTCAGCTAAACTAAGAAGGCATTGGTCCAAATGGTAACGTGGGCTTTCTCTCTTATTAAAATGTCCTACGTGGGCACTGGGTTGATTTGCCTTTCACTCTATTTCCTGGTGATGTTAACCCCACGCCGCCTTGAGCCCTGGGATCTACCAGTCCTGGTTCTTGGGGGTAAGGTTTCCCAACTTGGGGAAAAGAATGTACCCCTCCTTCCTGGGCCCCAAGGGTCCTGCTGGGCCACGCAGACCCACAAGAGGACACGGCTTTCCCAGGGTTTATTGCAGAACCACTTTGTCTCTTTTCCAAAAATCTGCTTGCTATTTAAATTTTTATTGACTATAATCTCCTAAAGCCAGCCTCCACCCTACAAACAAAACAACACACACACACATAAAATATCAGAGATTTGTTCTAATTCCTGGAAACTCCCTACCCTTGTTCTAATATTAGAGGTTTGCTCAGCTAACAGGAAGCACAGGACTTGCTAAATGATTCTGGAGAACTGGCAGCCTTGTCCAGCATCCAGAGAACATTCCACAGACTTCCTGTACAAGCCCCTGAAATTCGTACCTTCTTTGATTGTGGTATGCAGCATCTGAAAACTCAGTCTGTTGTGAACAAAACATTTAAAATCCGTGGTCAAATCCTCTCTGATGACTGGATCAAAAATCAGGGGCACTTCAATGTAGTTCTCGTCTTTTTCTGAGTACTCCCTGCGGAGAAAGCACGCACTTAGACAGGCGGTCCGGTCAGGCTGGTCTACCAGACCCCAAACATCCCCAGAAAGGCCGCGTGGCCCGCGTTGTCTAAGGTAAGGAAGCCGGGCGCCCGGGCCGTTGTATGACCTGCTTCGGCAGGTGTCTCAGCGGCTCTGAGCAGCAGTGACGCTGACAAGTGGAGGTGCTGCCCACTGGGACAGACACTCGTTACCAGAAGCCATGAAGGAGCTTGTTTTGGACAATGGGAAGTCCACCAAGATGGCCCTCAGTGAGCAAGGAGCTAGGAGAGGAGCCAGAAATGTCTCCTTTTGGAAATCCTGACTGCATCACCAACAAATCATTTGCATATGGAAGGGCAGGGAGTTTCCAGAAACCCAGTTTTCAACAGAGTCCGGACCTCCTCTCATCTCCACTGCTGGCTCTCACGCTGGGAACTCAGTGCCGAGTGGAGGCATGTGATTTCGCAATGAGGACTTGCAAACAATTGTGCTAACCACACATCATTTTTATCGGCTCCATTGCGCCCAGAAATGGGGCCATGGGAGTTCAGGCTGTTCCAGGCACTGGCCTGTAAATCTCACAGTCTGTACTTTATAATGGGAACATCGTATGGTCTCCCTCCCTCGTGTGAAGGTTTCCAGTTACAAGATCTGCTTGTTCTGTTTTTAAAGGGAGAAAACCCTTTCAGAGGTGACTGCTTCTGAGAACAGACTCGTTCTCACTTTGAATGTTAACCTCCCTTATTCGGCGGCCGCCATGGAGCCCGGGCACACAGGCTCCTGGACGCTGCGGCTAAGTCTCAGGACTTTTGAAGGGTTTGTGAAAATGTTTGACACTCAGGTTGCAGAATGGGAAATAGAAATATATTAACTCCAAGTATTTTTAATTGCAAAAATCAAGAAACAGGCATTTATTAAACAGCTAGAAAGTGCAACCTCAGTGACAAGCAGTTGGCTGCAATTCAGTTCTTATATAGAAAGTTTGCTTCTCAAGAACAGATGGTAATTCTGAGCAAACTCAATTTTTAAAATTCTAAAAATCCAGCAGTTCATACTAGCAAAATTATTTTTAATATAGGGTGTGCGTCCTGTGGAGAGGTTGGATGTGGCACTGTCTCTTTAAAAATGCGTGAAGCTGATGGAGGTCTCAGGAAGCTCTGCCCCAAGACACCTGGGCTGCAAGCCCTCTCCCCACTCACAGGCGCGGGCCCTCGCACACGCGGCCGGCGGGGTAGGCGGCCTCGATGCTGGTGGTGTTGGCCATCCACCAAAGCAGGGTGGTCGTGTGCGAGCCGCCTCCCAGAAACACCTTGCAGGGCACCGTCAGCCTCAAGCCTGTGGGCGGAGACACGCACATGAGAAGCGGCTGGACGCAGGGGGAGCCCAGCTCCTCGCGCCCCGCAGACCTGAGCGGGCCCTCCTGTCTCAGACACCACCAACTCCTTCTTAGAAGGAAACGGTCGCCTCCGAAGACTCCCTTCACCTGGGAGGGACCGGGGCACCGGTTACCGAGTGTCTCCAGTCCCTCCAACCAGGCCTGCCCGCAGAGATGCGCAAAGGGCTCCTGCGAGCCGCCTGTGCCCCCAACCCACACCCCCGCCCGCCCCGTCCAGGCTGACCCACGCCCTTCCCAGCCTCGCTGTCTCCCTCCCTGTCCCGGACTCCTGTGCTGGAGGAGCACCCTGCCCAGCCTGCCCCCGGAGGAGGAGGGAGCAGTGCAGCTGGCCTTGATGTCACAGCTCCTGCGAGTTGAGTTTTAAGTTCCCAAAGAGATAGGGATAGATAAATCCTTCCCTTCTGCGTTTCCCTCGTGGGCGCTGGCCACTGCAGGCCCCAGCACAGCCTTTCTCCCCCCTCCTCCCCGGGCTGAGACTCCTCAGCCTGCAGCCCTGCGTCCTGCCTCGGTGGGCCCACAGCTTCTCCCAGGCACCCAGTTACCAGGCTAAACCTAAGCCCAACCTGCACAAGAAGCAGGGGGGCGGGGATCTGCAGCCAGTTGGCTGAATGAGCATCACTGCGAAGGGCTGTAAGCAGCACACGGTGCAGATGGGGCCTTAGGGGGAGTGAGAGGTGGTGAGACTGGCTTTAAGGCAGGTCCTGCTCCATGTCAGCCCCCCTTCCCTCCCCACCCCCCCAAATGACCCAGGTCTTCTGCTTAGATTCTCTTAGGTGCCCCGTCTCACATTTCTAACTGCTTGGCACGGGGCTGCCCTCACATTTGTTATTTCAGCCTCTCATCCTGGGCGGCCCCCCACCCCAGGCACGTGGCACACCGAGGGCCCAGACCGGGGCACAGGCCACGGGCCCTGAGGCCTTACCCAGGGAAGCCGAGATGGTCTGGTGCGGGGACAGCATCACGGGCACCGTCTCCTTTTGCTTTCCTGAGACAGGCAGAGGAGGTCAGTGAGGGGCTCCAGTCCAGCGGCCCGGCCACTGCCAGCTCACTGGCCCCTCACCCAGCCTGGCTGGCCACAGCGTGTCCGTGGCAGTGCCCTTTCCAGAGGAGAGCCAGGAGCAGCCACAGCGGTCCGCTCAAGGCACTCCTTCCGTGGCAGCCCTGGGCTTCCTCAGTGAGTCCTGTTCCTGGATAAATCCTTAGGTAGCGTGCACACTGTTCCCGTGCTTTGCTGAGTCATTTGCCCTGAAATGCCTCCCTGCCTGCACCCCCCTGCCAGCCGGCACCTGCGGCTCCGGAGGAGAGGCGGCCAGCCCGTGGTGAGCTGCTGCAGGGCGAGCTCCTGGCCATGGGGACTGAGGGGCCTCCTAGGAGTCAGAACCCGGTTCCCCAGGAGGCAGGTCTCCCATTGGCCTGGACAAACTGCTCACCTGAAGGGGCAGAGAGCAGCTTGGGGTGGGCAACCGCTGGCCCCCCACCCTCCCTCCCTGCTGCTCCGCGGGGGGCGTCTGAGCCTGGCCCAGGGCCCAGCAGCCTGGGGGGATCAGAGAGCGCCCCACCCCGTGCACCCTTCCCCCCTCCCAACACCCCAACACACATACACACACACCCCAACACACACACACACACACACACACACACCAACACACACAACCCCCAACACACACACATACCAACACACACACACACACCCCAACACACACACACACACACACACACACCAACACACACAACCCCCAACACACACACATACCAACACACACACACACCCCAACACACACACACACACACACCAACACACACAACCCCCAACACACACACATACCAACACACACACACACCCCAACACACACACACACACACACCAACACACACAACCCCCAACACACACACATACCAACACACACACACACACCCCAACACACACACACCCCAACACACACACAACCCCCAATGCGCACACACACACACACACACCCCAACACATACACACAGCCCAACACACACACACACGCACACACACACACCAACACACACAACCCCCAACACACACACATACCAACACACACACACACACCCCAACACACACACACCCCAACACACACACAACCCCCAATGCGCGCACACACACACCCCAACACACACACACACAACCCCCAACACACACACATACCAACACACACACCCTAACACACACACACCAACACTCACACACACACACACACACACACACACACACCACGGGGTGCAGCTGGCTGGGGGCGGGCCAAGGGGGCAGTCTGGGACTGTTTGACACATTGCTCCGCCTCCTGGCCCCCTACTTCCAATCCTTGGGCCTGGGATGGGGCCCAAGTTCCCAGTGTCTAACCAGCGCCCCAGGGATGAGGCTGTGCCCCTCCTCCAGGAGCCAGCAGGGCCCCGCAGCTAACATGGGGGCTGGCGCCCCCTGGTGTCCCTGTGCAGCACCACGAGCAGGGGAGGTCCTGAGCAGGCCCTGGCTGTGTCTTTCCCCATGCCCTCCCTTATCTCTTATCCCCTCCCCTGTTCCCGCCCCCTCCCGTCCTCCCCCCCACCCTGCCTCTATCCCCTCACTCCCCCGCTCCTAGCTCAGTTGAAATGATGGCACCCTCACCAGCACTTGCTTTCATGGGCGACAGGGAAACTGAATCTCTGGATTCTGTTGGGAAAAGTTAACCTTTCCCCATCACAGGCCAATTATCTAACCTTAATGCCTTCCCACAGCTCTGATGTCTTAAAAGACCCAGCTGTGCAGCAGCCTGGTGTGTAAAGTGCAGGACTCAGCCCTGCCCCAGGACGGGCACACCGTTTACCCAGCGCCATCCCGATGTCCCGCCTGGGGGCGGCTCCCTGCTGAGCGCAGTCACATGGTCAGTCCTGTTCACAGCATCCCCAGCAGAGCTCATCTAAGCCACTGGACACTCACTGCTCCAACCCTGCTTCCAGGGCAACCAGACTGCTCCAGGAGCAGCTTCCACTGGTGAAATCACCATGCCTTCCAGAAACACCCAATGAGCACCATAGTGACAGCCCTACACACAGCCCTACAGACAGACAGCCCTACAGACAGACAGCCCTACAGACAGACAGCCCTACACACAGTCCTACAGACAGCCCTACAGACAGACAGCCCTGCAGACAGACAGCCCTACACACAGTCCTACAGACAGCCCTAGAGACAGACAGCCCTACTGACAGCTCTACAGACAGCCCTACAGACAGAACACCTTATAGACAGTCCTACAAACAGCCCTACACACAGCCCTACAGGTAGCCTTACAGACAGCCCTACACCCAGCCCTACACACAGCCCTACACCCAGCCCTACAGACAGACAGCCTTACAGACAGCCCTACATCCAGCCCTACACACAGCCCTACACACAGCCCTACCCACAGCCCTACACACAGCCCTACAGATAGACAGCCTTACAGACAGAATGCCCTACAGACAGACAGCCTTACAGACAGACAGCCCTACACACAGCCCTACACACAGCCCTACAGATAGACAGCTTTACAGACATACAGCCTTACAGACAGACAGCTCTATACCCAGCCCTTCAGACAGACAGCCCTACAGACAGATAGCCTTACAGACAGACAGCCTTGCAGACAGACAACCCTACAGACAGATAGCCTTACAGACAGCCCTGCAGACAGCCCTACAGACAGCCTACTGACAGTCCTACACACAGCCCTGCAGACAGCCCTACACACAGCTCTGCAGACAGCCTATAGACAGCCCTACAGACAGCCTTACACACAGCCCTACGCACACACAGCCCTACACACAGCACTACACACAATCCTACTGACAGCCCTACAGACAGCCCTACTGACAGCCCTACAGACAGCCTTACACACAGCCCTACACACAGCCCTACACACAGCCCTACAGACAGACAGCCCTACAGACAGCCCTACATATACACAGCCCTGCACACAGCCCTACACATAGCCCTGCACAGAGTGGCTGCCATGCTGGTGGCCGCCTTCCCAGGAACCACTGCTGGTCCCACAGACTTGGTGCCCAGGGACTCCCTCAAATGCCACCCTGCTTTCTGCCTCTCACCCCTCACACCTCTTCCTAGCCCGATGCTTTAAGGGAGTGGACGTGCGTTTCCCTATCACACCAACGACATGCAAGGAAACCTGGTGCCCCGTTTGCTCTCCACAGGCCTGAGGGCCAGGGCGGAGGGCCCGAGGGCCAGCACGTACTGCGGACACGGAGCTGGATGTTCCTGGTGATGTTGTGCTGCGTGCCCCTGTGGGTGAAGGCCAGCACACAGCGGTAGCGGCCTGCGTCCTCCTCCGACACGTCGTGGATGAGTAGGCTCGTGGTTCCTCTCACACTCACAAACCTCCCGCTGCCTGGATCCAGGCGGTCAGAGTCCTGAGGGAAATGTTTTCCAGAAGTTACGCTCTGCACCAACCGCACCTCAGCAGCTGGAATGGGGCCCGGACTACCTGTCAGTGTTGAATTTGCAGCCAAGACTTGTCTTGTTACTTACTTTGCAAATATTGTACTTTGGACATATTTTACCTGTTTTGGGAGAGGGAATTGGTTAGCATAGAAAACAAAACTGCTGAATGTGTTTAAGCACCATGCTCCAGCACTGAGGGGCTGGCGGGGGATTCTCTTTGACAGAGTAAACCTTTTAAAATACAAATACAGGTCTGGCCTTACAGCCGCCGTGGGCCTCGGGACCGGGAAAGAGTCCCACTCTGTGGTCATGGCGACCGGAAAGCTGTGTTCAGGAAGGATGGTGTTGCTGTGATTATTTAAAAATTAATTCAATGTTAGGAGTCGGTAGAGAGGTGGGAAAAACGGTAAGAAAAGCTAAATGTGAGGAGCGAGGCCACACCTTTCATGGGACAAAAGGCAGTGTGGCTCCTGCACAGAGCGAGGCCTCCAGCAGCACAGATGTGCGGGATGGGCCGGGGGACAGCCGGGAGAACAGGGGCCTGTGCTCGGCCAATGAGCCATGTCACCCTCTCTCCAAATGGGAGCAGACACAGCTGGATGAGTTGTGCTCTCCGTCTGTTCGACTAGCAGGAGAGGCTGCTGTTCCTAACGTGAGGAGGATACGGAACAAGCCCCCTGGGCCAGCAGCCGTCCTCCACGGCCCCAGGGCTGCCTGCCCCACTGGGGGTGCGGCTCCCAGCTCAGGGTTTTGGCTTCACCATCTCTCCGCTGTGCGGGCTTGGCAAGTTCTTACATTTGTGCATCTCTGTTCTCTAAGTGAAGTAGGGAAAGTAGTCGTGTCTGCCCTGTGGTTGCCTGGCAGCGCCTTTGGACAGAACTGTGCCCGGCACGTGCTCGGGAACGGGCAGGAGGACCACTGAGACCACGGGACATCCCTCCAGCGGCTCGGGCTCCAGGCGTCCGTCAGCCCCACTCACTGAGGGCCGCAGGCACAGGCCCCGCCTCGCGGCTCCCGGCCGCTCCCAGAGGGAGCAGTGTCAGGTGAAATCAGCCCAAGGCTATACACAGCCAAGTGGAAACAAACAGGGCTCAACCGGAGTGGGGCACGCCAGCGCCCTCCACAGGCACAGCCTCTCCCTAACCAAGAAGGAACCCAGTCCCTGGCTGGGCTGCAGCCCCATGGGGCTGGCTGCTTGCTCCTCCTTTCTTTGCGTTGGCAGTGCTCATTGAGATAATACACAGATACCTGAAATTGTAAAACCAGTCACTAGCTAACCCGTGTCTTTTCTAAAAAGACACATTTTAATAATTATGACAAAATTATAGATAATGTTAATTGAGATTCTACTAGAACTTTAGGTTTATATGGATTGAGTATAGATTGGGGAGTAGCACGTGTATCCATAAATGAACGTCCCTACCTTCTTATTCTCTCTCCCTGTGGAAATGCCTTTGCCATTAGCAAAGTAGAACAACATAAAACCGTTATGTAACACTGACTTATAAAAAGTGGAAAGTGAATCCTTTATCCCCGAAACATCGTTTGTTATTTCAATGTATAGTCCTCCATATTTTTGAATATATTAAACCATGTTTTTACATAACTAGGAAATATAGAATGTCATTTAAAGCCTTTAAACTACAGAGTATTGTATTTTTCCTGATGTGTTTTGTAAACACTTATATAGCCCACCATTCCTATGGGATGGAATCAGATTAACCAGTCCCTAATGGTGAGCGTTTTCTTGTTTCCAGTATCTTCTTATGAGCAGTGCTTCGGTAAACATGTTAGTACATGGTGTAATATATCCTTGTCTCGTTTCCATATACATACTTTACATGGATCTAGTTCTGTCCACGATTAAGCCAGTAACTGTCTTTCCAATGTCAGCCTGCGATCTGGGTCAGGGTGTCTCTGTGAGGGGCCGGACAGTGTGTTAGGTCCCAGTGAGCATGGCCTCGAACCTCAGCCAGCTCTCCCTGCATCGGGAAGGCGGCCTGGCTGACACAGTGTTCCCTGTGCGCAGGAGCTGGGGTCCCGTTCGGCACTGTCATAAAAGAGTGCGATTCTTTTACACTTTCCAGCCACTTAAAGGGTGAGAACTAGCCTCGCTCGCAGAACAGGCCACGGCTCCATGTGGCCTGCGGCTGTTTGCCCACGCCTGGCCCACCTACTACGAGCTGATGGAAATATTTGCTCGGCCAGGCAAGAGAAGAAAGTGTGTTTGTACTTACTCCTTTGACCAAAAGTTGTGCGTACGTTATTAAATTAACCAATTGTTTTTCTGAATTTTAACAGAGTGGAAAGCTGTCTTTTTCAGCTGTTATTTACATGGGACTCATTTCATATTCTCAAATCATCATTCTGAGAATGCACCACATGAGGATCCAGAGCATATTGACCATGGTCCTTTAAAACTAACTGGTTTAAAAAACAGAAATATCTTCAGAACGGCATTTCTATATTTCCTGTGGCAGTGAAATGCATATTAATTCAACAGCACTTGCCGGAGATGTACCTTGTACCACTGAATCTTCATGTCAGTTTTGTTCTTGATGAATTCACTCAGCTCAGGGCACACTAAGAAGCCCGAGGCCGCGGCAGTGAGCACCTGCGGGTAGGACACGGCGGGCAGCGAGGCTTCCGTGTTCTCCAGCACCCTGAGGTCCATGGTCATCTGGTCACAGTAAGAGGAGTTTCTGATTTAAAAGGGGAGCAAATGCGAAGGCAAAGTAAACATAAATCTAAATGAAGTAAAGAACAACTTCCCAGCCCATTAAATGCTACATTTTTTTTTTTATTAGTATGGTGACACTTTGATCTCAGATCTTTTTGAATCCTTGGAGCGCAAAGCAAGCACCACATCATAAATGTTATTCGAAATGACAATATATTCTGAACTTTTCCCAGAAGACCCTTCACCAGCCTGATCGCAACACCACCAAGGCCTACACCCCCCAGGTTTTGGGCTCCTTGAGTAAACGCGCCTGCCTCCTGGGTCAGGGACCAGATCCCAACACAGGAAGTGCTCCTGGGTCAGGGACCAGATCACAACACAGGAAGTGCTCCTGGGTCAGGGACCAGATCACAACACAGGAAGTGCTCCTGGGTCAGGGAACAGATCCCAACACAGGAAGTGCTCCTGGGTCAGGGAACAGATCCCAACACAGGAAGTGCTCCTGAGACCCACCATCTCCATATAAAGAAAAGTCATTCTCAGGGAATAGCCATTAGCTGGGTCTAATTTCAGAAAACTGCTGAGAAGTTAGCATAAAATCTAGAGAAGATGTGTGACACTGCCTGGGGGAAGCTAACTCAGTGAGTTTGTTTGGATTTTAATTTGTTGTTGTTGTTGGGCTAACTGTAATCTCAATATCATAATTCCGTCAGCACCCTAGGACCGGGAAATGGTACTGGCAGCTCGTGTCTAGAAACAGGGAGGAGGTGGAAGAGGACAAAGGATCTGACCTACAACTGAGTTTTATCACGATCTCACCGAGTCTCCAGCAGCCTAAGACCCTAAGAGCCGAGCAAACACTTATGCACAAAGAAACACAAAGTTAACTATTGCCTTGACGAAGTGCACCTCGAGGGACGTGAGCGAGGACCACCCTCCAGGGCAGCGGAGCCCCCCAGCGGCACCCCGAGGCGAGGATGCTGCCGACTGCCTGGGGCTGGCGCATCCCGCACTCCCGTGCCAGCACCAAGAGCTAGAAATCACGAGTATCTCACGTTCAGGTGGGAAAATTACATATACAGAAATTAAGCAATTTCCTAAGGCCACATAGCTCAGAGATCAAACCAAGGCAGAAACCCAGCAGGGCCCTGAGGAAACCCTGAATTAGGCTGGTATTCCTGGAAACGCTTATAGACAAACCTGTTCACATTGTTGGTGAGGGGATCCCCCTGGAGCAAGGTACTCCATGAAAGTGCCCGACAGGAAGAGGGGTGGGCGTCATGCCTTGGCCACTCTCATTCCCCAGGGAGTACGTAGACTCCACAACCAGAGGTGGCAGTCATTAATGCTGTTCTCTACACACACCCTCCCATCCTGTGCACACAGTGGGGTTGCACATCCTGGCCCCACAGCGAGAGGGGCAGCTACTTGACTGCAGTCACTTCACCAGAGAGCCCCTCAGAGTTCAGTCTGGGTCCCCAGGCATGTGCCCAGCCATCCTGGCTTGCTGCTGGGGTGACTGACTACCTCGCCCTGTTGTTTGAAACCCGGAGACTCAGAGCGTCGTGATCAGCAGCACGGCTTCCCCCATTGACAGAAAGGCCCGCGGTGCTACACCTGAGGCTTTAAAGCGGCGGGCACAGGGCAATCGCATGCCCTCTGGCTGTAATGCCAAAGGGGGTAGTGGCAGCTGCTGGGGGTTCTAGGTCCTTTGGATCCCAGGCTTGGATGGGAAGAGAGTTCTAGCCCTCAGCCAGGCAAACTCCGTGCTCAAAAGCTTGACCCACATACGGGTTTCCACTGCCCCTCGATTCCAGATCTCCACTTTTCTAAAACAGGAAATAAAACAAGAGTATTAGCTAGGGTTTTCTAGTGGAGGAAAAAAACCTTCTGTGAGACAAACGACTCAGTCATGTCCCCTGATCTCTGCAGACTGTCACTCCGGGGCGGTAAGCATCGCCATGGGGGAAGTGTGTTCTCGGCGTCTGCGCACCCGTTCCCCTGACAAGACTCTCCACAGACCGTGTCACCGGCCCGCCCGGCACTCTCCCCGGGGACAGAACTGAGGCCGGAATTGCCAAGTAATCAGACCACGATGGAAAATGGAGGGGTTCAGATTCACATCCTTGTCATCCTGGCTACACATTTTATTCTTTTTTAAAACACACTTTTAGGTTTCCTAGCTGTGCTCCTTAGGGGGGAAAAATGGTGTTTGTTTTTTTTTGTTGTGTTTTTTTTTTTTTGCACTAGAAAGGAAACAAAAATTATATATTTATAACTGCTGTAAAATAGCACATACACATTCTTCCCTCGTACAGAAATGAGAGATGCTTGGCCTGCTGCCTAGGCAGGGTTCATTGACAGAAGGTAACACACAGCCACACACACACACACACCATCTGGGAATTAGCACTGGGGCTGATGTTGTCTGAAACCCTCCTGTGCACTAGTAATCCCTCTGTGCTTCGAGTGTCTCCCTCTTTGGTTCTCTTTCTAAACGCCAGTGCTCATGAAGAGGGCTTCTTCCTGCAGCCTGAGACTCCCAGATGCGGGAGGCATGGGGCAGCCGAGGGCACAGCCCCTGCAGAGGCCAGCGGCTGCACTTCCCAGCCAGGCCAGCAGGCGGCGCCAGTCCTTCAGAAAACTAGGCCACGGAGTTTCCGAGATCCTCGGCACTACACCAGGACTCTCTCCTTCACAAGCAGCAAGAGCCCAAGGGCATTTGCCCACCAGAGAAAGGACTGTCTTCCCAACAGGAAAACTGGACAGCCACATGGGAAAGCGTGATCTCACACCATATACACAATTTAACTCAAAACGCTCAGACACTGAGCAGGAGAGCTACAACAATACAGATTTCAGAGAAAACACAGGGAAAAGCTCTGAGACATTAGCTATGGCAGTGATATCTGGGATGTGACATCAAAAGCACAGGCAACCAAAGAAAATACAGGCAAACTGAGCTTTATCAAAATTAGAACCTTCTGTGCATTAAAAGAACATTATCGACAGAGTACAAAGGCAATCCATGGGATGGTAGAAAATATGGCTAGCATATCCCCCCTAAAAAAACACCAGGGAAAGTGGTAAGTGTCGGTGGGGAGAGAAGAATCTGGCACCTTGTACATTGCTGGTGGGAATGCAAACCAGTGCGGCCGCGGTGGCCAGCAGCAGAAAGCTAACCGGTTCCCAGGGACCCACCGGCTCCACAGATGTGTGTGCCAGGCTCCTTAGACATTATTCTCAATAGCTAAACGCAGAGCAAGCGTACTGACAGGTAACAGGCCACCAAAGGGCGGCCTACACATACACGGGACGTCGTCTTAGAAAGGAGGGGAACCTGCCGCATGGCACAGCGGGAATGACCTTGAACAGGAAACACCGGGAAGGAAGCCAGGCACCAAAGGCCAGGTGCTGGTGACTCCACTCGAACCCACAGCCACAGGAGGTGGGTGGGGGCAGCCAGGCCTGGGAGGGGAATGAGCAGGGGTGGTTGGTTACTGGGAGCAGAGCGCCAGTTTGGGCGATGGAAGAGCTGTGATGGCGGTGATGGTCCCAGCAAGAGGACGTGCTGAACCCACTGGCTGTACAGCTCAGCGGTGTGTAATGTAAATGTTCTGTTCGCCTGCGCTGCCACAACTAAGGGGGAAGAGCACCAGGACACAGAGGAGAGGGACACGCCGTGGCCCAGCTCCACTCCAGCTCCTGGAGAACTCCGTGCGTGAGCATGTTCCCTCGCACGCAGAGAAGCAGTGCTCATGTCTCATCCATCGGGCGTCAGGCTCTGCCCTCGTGCTCCTGTGATGGGCAGGGACCAGGGACCGCGTCCCCGCCTGGAGCGCACTCTGCCCGGAGCGCACACTCTGAGGGCGGCCCGGGGCACGGCGACCGGGAGAGCCGGTGAATGCCTGGCCAACAGCGCAGGTGAGTTTCGAAGCTGGTACCTTTGTATGCCCGTGGGCGCTGTGATAAACAGCCAAAGGCCCCGAGCAAAGAGGAGGCTCCCACGCCTGGGTAGACAGACATGAACCACACACGCTTGTGTCAGAGGAAGAAAACCCCGCCGGGTGAGCCGCGTGGGGCACGAGTGCTGCTTACACGGCAGCCGAGAGGTGGCGTCTGGGCGAGGGCCCGCGTGGGGGCCGGGGCGCCGTGAGGACACCGGGGGCCTCACAGGGAGCATCTCGGGAGCGTGGCGAGCACAGGGACATGCAGGCCTTCCTGCAGCAGTGCTCGGAGCCCACCCGCCTGGCCCAGCCTACCTGATGGTGCAGAGGTAGGTGCCTGAGTCGCCCCGCTGGGCGGGCAGGATCCAGAGGGCGCCGTCCTGGACCCACACTCGCCCGTCTTCCCCGTGGACCGGCCCGGCAGAACCGCTCCGGTGCCAGGTCACGGTGCCGCGGGAGATGGCCGCGGTCCCCGGCCAGTACCGCTCCTGGGGGCACCTCAGGACCACGGGCTCCCCTTCCACCCGGAGGCTGATTTTGAAATGTTTGCCGAGGTCCTGGCAGCTCCCGGTGGCCGCTGAGGAAGAGAGACCTGTCAGGCCTGGTGGTATCCCCACCCCCCATGGCGAACCTGTGGGCACAGTGCCCCTGGCAGCGAGGTGCCCTCTGGGCCCTCTCACCCTCTTGGTAGAAAGGTTTCAAAGCTCTCAGCTGGCAACTTGAGGTTCGCTCTCCGCGGATTTTGTGGGGAAGTTAAATCAGGCTCACAAAGAATAACGATGGAAATGGCGGCCAGGCTTCTTGCTGGGCCACTCTTGTTACTGAAGTGGCTCTCAGCTGAGCTCAGGCACAAACCGAGCTCAGTCCCCATGGCTGTGTGGGTACAACCCATGGCCCTGCATCCAGCAAAAAGGAGGCTGTGAGGGGCCCCCAGACCGCCCTTCATTGCATCTGCTTTCTTTTTATTCTGTTTATCCAGGTAACGTCTCTCTAATAAAAGCCCAGCGCCTGGAATGGCGAAAGGCCAGAACAACCGGATCAACGGGTGGCTGCGACATGTACTGTGGCAGCCCACCGGCCGGATCCGGCCCCCTCAGCTGGCCAACCACCCTCAGTCCCCCCCCCCCAATGGCCCTAACCCTGATTCGCCCCCATCAGAGCACGCTGGCCGGATGCACCCATGCACCAGGCCACTAGTTTTACTATATTTACTAAAGCACCATTGGTTAACAACAATATATATCTATATATTCCAGGTACACGACCTTATAACTTGATATCTGTGAGCTCATTTACATGCTCACCACCCAAGGTCTAGTTTCCTTCCCTTATTACATGTTTGGCCCCTTTGACCCACTTTGCTCTCCACACCCTCCCCTCTGGCACCCACACCTCGTCTTTGCGAACAGCAAAGCCTCCCTAGCTACACACCTGCGCCTCAGACAAGCCCTCCCGCTGAGAGCCCTCCTTACCCATGTGCGCCTCGGGCTGACCGGGGAAGGCAGAGACGCCCGCCATCCACAGGCACAAGGTGAGCATCGTTCCCAGCCGCATCCCGAGGCCCAGGGGCTGCAGTTTGTAGCCTAGAGGAGGAGACAGAGGGTCACAGGGTCACAGCACCCAAAGGGAGAAGGTGCTCCCAGGGCAGATGCTGGGAACTTCACCCAATAAAAGAAACCGTTCGCCCACACTTATAACAAGAAAACTCAAAATCTGGAGATTTGTTCCTCTAGAGCTGTCTCCATTAAACACACCTAACATCAAATCCCACAGTGCTCCCAATGGCCATGGGCTGGACCTCCATACCTAGTGTCTCTCCCAGAGTCCCTTCCCTTCCTTTCCCCTCCCCTCCCCTCCCCTCCCCTCCCCTCCCTTCCTTTCCCTTCCCTTCCCCTCCCTTTCCTTCCCTTCCCCTCCCTTCCCTTCCCTTCCCTTCCCTTCCCTTTCCTTCCCTTCCCCTCCCCTCCCCTCCCTTCCCCTCCCTTCCCTTCCTTTCCCTTCCCTTTCCTTCCCTTCCCCTCCCTTCCCTTCCCTTCCCTTCCCTTCCCTTCCCTTCCCTTCCCCTCCCTTCCCTTCCTTTCCCTTCCTTTCCCTTCCTTTCCCTTTCCTTCGCTTCCCTTCCCTTCCCTTCCCTTCCCTTCCCTTCACTTCCCTTCCCTTCCCTTCCCTTCCCTTCCCTTCCCTTCCCTTCCCTTCCCTTCCAGGTCTTTGCTCAGATCTCCCCCTGGTGAGGTCTTCCTGACCTCCTGTATGAATCAGCACCACCTCCTGCTCCAACACTCAATGTTGTGCTTCCTGCTCTGTTGTTCTCTATGGCACTCATGGTCCATCTCCCCTCTCTCAAAGGTAAGCTCTACATGCACAAGGATCCTACTTTATCTTATTCACAGTTATACCCTCCCTTCCACTTGTTGAATGACTAAAGGAGTGTATAGTGGGCTGGGGGGCAGGGTAGGCTAGGACGAGTCAATGGGGGAACAAGAGGACATATATAATACTTTCAACAATAAAGATTCTTTTTAAAATATATTGTTATTGATTTCAGAGATGAAGGGAGCGGGAAAGATAGAAACATCAATAATGAGAGAGAATCATTAATTGGCTGCCTCCTGCTCACCTCCTGGGCACAACCCAGGCATGTGCCCTTCGCTGGACTTGAACCTGGAACTCTTTAGTCCATAGACAATGCTCTATCCACTGAGCCAAATCAGCTAGGGCTAAAGATTCTTTTTTTTAAATGAGTGAATGCCCCATGAATGCTATTGCATTTGCTTTCTTTTTATTCTATTTATCGAGGTAACACCTATATATATAAAAGCCCAGGCCTGGAATGGCAGAAAGCCCAGAACAACCAGCATGACACAAGCAAGGCTGTGAGTGCCTTTGCTCACTTTGTGCCTTTGCCATCACATGAGATCATCTCCCAGGAGACACTGGTCCAAGGAAGGTGAGACCCACGTGGTGACTTGGATGCCATCTGAAGCTTGGCACCAACCCTAACTTAGCCTAAAGTAGGTTGGCCAACCTCCATCAGACCCCAGACTTGTGAGTAAGAATAAATTACATTGCTTTAGGCTGTTCGGTTTTGGGGTGGTTTGTTAGCCTTGCTCAGGTCGGGTTCACTCTTGTCTGCCCACAATCCATTGGCCAAAGCAAGTCACATGGCCAAACCTGCCATCACGAGGGCAGGGAGATGCCCATCTCCAGTGGGAGGAGTTGCAAAGTTACAGCAGGAGGGAAAGAAATGGGAGCAGCCACACCTGCTTCTTGTCTGGGTCACAGCCTTCATGGCCTCCACAATGCCCAGGCCCAAAAGTGCCAGGCAACAGTGATGCCTGAGAGTCTAGTAGGAAGTTGGGAGTGATAACTGAATCCATCACCCTCTCCCGATTCTTGGAAGGAGTGTGACCGGTGCTCCACCCCTCAGTGGGTCCTCAATGGCTCACAGCCCGCCCAGATGGTCCTGGTGTCCGGGGCAGGGCTGCCCCCTGTGAGCAACCTGTGCTCCAGGGGCCTCCCCAGCAGGGAGGCCCAGCAGAGGCACGGCCTCAGAGCTGCGGCCTGAGCCCCACTCCGTGATGTGGAGCAGAGTCTCCGCTTAGCTGGTATCTGCCGGGGCTTCTCCCCTAAGCTCTTCCTCCGCCTCATAGGTCTCTGCATGTTTCTGGAAGTTACTATTCCTCAGCTTTACCTCTATCCCACCCTCCGGCTCAGCAGGCCACCTGGCTACCAGAATCGTCCCATCAGCACTGACCAAGCACCTGTGCCTCCGGACACTCAGCAGCGTGTCGTGTCCCCAGCTGGCCTCAGCCCGGCCCACGGGGTCCCGGGAGGGGTGCGAGGAGCAGGACTTCCACCCTAAGGCTGGTCAGCGAATGAAGCCCAAGTGTCGGTGCGGGGCCTAGTGCAATAGTGACAGCTATTGTGCTAACCACTGGGCGTTTCTCCTGCTGTTCCCCACGGTGGGAACAGTATGCCGTCTCACGGATCACACGGCAGAAGAGATTTCAGAGGCGCAGTGTCTTGGCCAGTACCTTACCGCTAGTGAGCAGGGTTACGTTAAACCAGGACTAGTGACGCTTCAGAAAGAAGCTCCTGTGGCAAAGGCCATCATTTTCGCCTCCACCTGTCCTCCCTGCTTCCCCGCAACCAGCCACCAGACTCTTAACCAAACAGATCCCCTCCCACACAGACTGCATTTCCCATCCTCCCTTGCAACAAGAGTGGCAACAGGACAAAATCAGGGTCAACGCAATCAAGTGGACACGGACGGTCTAGGTGTCTAGGTGCCAGTCTCCCCGCCTCGGCCGGGAGCGTGGCCAGCCGCACCGCCTCGGGCCACGGCTGCAGCTGCTTGCGGAGAGAGATGGAGTGCCAGAGGGGTTGGCTTCAGGGTGCTGCCCGCCGGCCTGCCTGCCTTCACGTGCTGAGGCTTCCTTCATGTGCAGCAAACCTAGCCTGGTGTTAGCGTTCGGCGTGCAGGAAAAGGACCAGGCAGGAAGCCCTGCCGGCACTGGTGCTCAGTGTCTGATGATTGACAGGCGGGAGGAGCCGGCCTGGGACTAGGTGAGGATCTGAACCCGTGCTTACAGGCATTTCCCAGAAAGGCAGGCTGCGCGCATTCAGGGCAGCTACCAGCTGGGGCTCTGCAGAGCTACAGAGCTGGGAGCCAGGAGGTCTAGTCCTCGCCTTTCTCAGGTACCGCGAGCTGGCGTTAACCCTCTTCTCACAACCACACAGCTGGCCACGGGGAGAAGCAGAGGTTTCCACAAGGACCCTGTCCCAACCAACAACTCTCAAACACCCACGTGCGGCAGCCACACCCCCCTCTGCCCAGGGCCCCCTCCCCCCCTCTGCCCACTCTCCCCTCCGCCCAGGCTCCCCTCCGTCCAGGGCCCCCTCCGCCCACTCCCCCCTCTGCCCACGCCCCCTCCGCCCAGGCCTCCCTCCACCATGACCCTCCTCCTCCCAGACCTTCCTCCATCCACTCCCCCCTCCACGCAGGGACCCCTCCGCCCACTCCCCCCTCTGCCCACTCCCCCTTCCGCCCAGGGCCCCCTCCGTCCAGGCCCCTCCCAGAGAATTGCCTTGGTTTCCCTCTGTGGACTTCCGGCAAAATAGCAGCTTTCCCGTGACCTTTCCAGGAAGTGGCCTCGGACAACAAACACAGACACATCGCAGCGATTGTTTTCAATCATCAAAACCTGAGAAAGGCTGCAACCCAACTCCCACGGGAAATGGTGGCTTAGGCAGACCCCGAGGAAAGAGGTTTGTGTGCGGAGGGTTGCCCCAAAGGTTTCCTGCCGCTCTTTCCTTAATGTCTCTGAGGTCCACATCTCCGCTGAGTCCGAGTGGCCCTTCTTCCTGGAGGAAAACTGTAAAAGGCAGCTCGTTCCCAGTATTTAAGTTACAGTTCTGTCTTTGTTTTTTGTAGTTTTGTTTGTGTCAAATAGCTTTGTTTCTCCACGGTCGGTGTAAAACCACGGAGGAATAGGATGAAGAAAGCAGGGCCGGGGATTTTTTTAAATGACCCACAATGTGTGCGAGTGTCAGCTTCGGCAGGAGAGGAAGATGAGATAAGCGGAGAGGATGGCACAGCCCCGCCGGCGGGGAACGCCCAGAACGCTGCATGGCTTTCCGCCTGCCTCCGCCTCGCTTCTGAGAGGCGGATGCTGTGCCCACAACTCTGAGTCAGTGGCACGGCCCGAACCGGGCAGGCTGAGCACGTGGAGTCCAATCCCGGCGGCCTCAGGCACCCAGTCCCCGCCCGCTTGTGAAATCCATTCCTAGGATCCCAAACCTGTTGTTTCAGGCACACAGACCTGACCCCTGGGGAGAATACATATCTGCATCCAGATTGAGCGTGGAAACTTTTCAATGCTAAGGTAGCGAGAAGGAGAGCATTTTGAGCTAAGCCTCCGGGCAGCACAGTGCGGGGCCTGGGGGAGGGAAGGGCCTGGGGGAGTGGGGCCCGCTGCCCAGGCCCAGGGGCACGGACAGCATCGCTCGCTGAATGCCTTCACTCCGTGTAGTCGCGCTGCCCTGGAAAAGCTCCCAGATCCATTGACTTCAGAGTCCCGCCTGTGCTTGCCTAGGCAGGGCCAGACCAAAGGCCGTCCCCCTGCTCTAGAGAAAGATGTGACCACTGAGGCAGCTTTGGTTGACAGTTGTCCAGGCTCAAAGCAGAACTCTTCCGGTCATCCATAAACTGGTTTTGTTCTTTAAGAAAGATAGGAGCCATTCCGTGCCACCCCGCACGCCGGGGGCGGGCAGCGCTGTGGGGTCGCTCCAGTCCGCGTGGCCAGTCGGGCGGCAGCGTCTCCCGGCCCTGGCCCCGGTGGGCTGCGGCACCGAGCGGCTGGGACCAGGCAGGCTGCACCCCGCAGCTGGGCTGCAGCCATGTCAGTGGCTCAAAGGGAAAGCCGGCAGGCTGAGCCGGGCTCCACCAAGGGCTCTACTCTCTGTTTCACTTCCTGCCAACAAGTACCTCACTCCCGAAAGCCATCCCTGTCAAACCTTCTGAATTTGCCCAACTTCTT